TCCAAAGACAATGAAGCGCCCCCTCAATCTCTTTCGGCTCATGTTCCAGCTCATGTTCCCCAGCAGATTCAGGCTTTGACAGGGGCATGACAATAATGTTGTTTATGCTTCTGCTTTTGTTCCTGAGCTGTGTTGGTTATGATGCCTGGTATTTTTATCCCTTTGGGCTCCAACCTTCTGTTTTCTTGGGGAAAATGAAATTATTTCCCTCTCTCAAGAAATGGGAGAGACTGCTGTATTTTCTGAGGCCCAGTAACAGGTTTTGTTTCCGCTCCAGGCACTGGAAAGGTATTTTGAGACCCTGGAAACTGGAGCTTCTATGCTAGAATTCCAGAAAAGAAAGAACACAGAAGGTGCCACTCTGTCACATGAGGATATCCTGGTGCTTCTGGCAGGGGTGGGATCTGATAGAGTTAACTACCGGTTCGGTGATTTATGATGTGCTTCCCTGCATGTTGTGCGCGTGCCTGTAAATTGTCATCAGCACGCTGTGTGCTGAGAAGCAGCCTTTGAAAAAGCACTTTTTTCCTGCTTTTTTAACTGCAGCTGTGCCTCGCACGGCAGCTGAAGTTGAAAAAGCAGGAAATAAAGGTCAGGTAAGAGCCTGGGCGGGTGGGTGGGTAAAAACATCAGCAGACATAGAACCAGATCTATGTCTGCTGCTCTTCAGAGCTACCGGTTCTACAGAGGTAGACAGAACCAGTAGAAACCCACCCCTGGATTCTGGATAAGCTGATGACTGAGCAAGAGGCCGTGATGAGAGAGAAGCTTGGCTCAGACATAGATCTTCATGTCCAGAATAAGTTGGATGTTTTCCAATCCCAGGTGCAGAAGGATTTTGACAGTCTCCTAAAGAAAGTCTCTTAGACTTCTGAGACCTGGATGCTTGAGAAGACAGCTCAGTGGCAAAGCTCCATAAAAGACCTAATGAATACTTTATGAAAGGAAATAGACAAATTGGGAGGAACATTTATCACATCTGAAAAAAGAATTTGTGATTTTAGGTTCTGATCAGAAGGCACTGTCAAGACAAGTGGAATCTTTTCCAGGGCAGATTAAGAAAATGTGAGAAGATGTGGAAATTCAGTTTCCGACATGGTTTAGCCAATTTCTGTCCTGATCTAGAAAGGATAAAACTGGAAAACCTTTTGTCCAGCATGAAGAATTACAGAAGCAGCTATGCAAATTGAAGCACAAGGTTCTTGCCAAGATTTTGAAGAACCAAGAATTGTCTGTGCAGGATGTTGAGATCATGCTTCATAAAGAAGGAATTACAGGATTGATTGAGGAGCAAATTCATCATATTGTGATGCCCTGAAGCACTACAGTGAAGATCGCATTGGAATGGTTGATCATGTACTTGAATCTGAAAGGGCCAGTGTAATCAGTACCTGGTGTTCAGAAACCTATGAGACATGGAAATTGTTGGGCCTTCCAAGGCTCCCAACATTTTGCTGTCATTCACCTTTCAACAGGATCCATCCTATTGCTGTGATGTTAGAGTGTATGTCCAAGTCGCTTTCCCCCAGTGGGACCATTCCCAGCGCCCACAAGGACATTGCAATCTTTGGCTTATGGGAAGAAGGGCATCAAAGAAAGCATTCTCCTTGGGAAGTTCACATACAATCAAGATGGGGATCCTATCCAAACATTTCACTTTAAGGATATAGACAGGCAGGCAGCCTTCCATCTGGTGGAGCGAAGAGTTCTCAGCAACTGGGGCCATCAAGAATAACCTATATTTATTGTTTCCATGTGCATGGGGAGCTGGGCTCATAGCGTCTTCTTGCACCACTACTCCAAAAGTCACCAACCTCAAGATCTGACTTCAGCCATTGAAAAGCAGCTGTGAAGCAGTGCCAGGAAGGCAAGCAATTTGGATAAAGGGAAGTACTTTTTCAATAAACACTTTTCAACTGATCATTTGCTAGCAGTATAATTTTAAGGAAGAGATCACCTCTATAACTGTGTAAAGTTAACTAAGAGCAAAATGTTCATAATACATCATATTTGGGGAAATAATATTATAAATTATGTTTTTTAACTTTTAAACTTGGGCCATTGAATTATATTGACGTCAAACAAGTAAAATAATAGCCACATCCTACAATCGTTGTCAATATATTCCGATACACCTAATACCAAACAGATCTAAAATGGAACTGAACTACTTTCAGAGACTTTTCCTTGCACCAATATTCCCTTCTTCTTTCTTTTTCTTTTTAATTATCTGCTTTTCATATTTAAATAAAATCTAGAATGCTTAAGAAAACATCTCATGCTTCCTGTTTTTGAAAAGTAGGGGAAAGCATCCGTCCAAAGAAAGTTTGGAAATAAGACCCACCTCTTCCCTGACCCTTTGGATATTTGAAATATAAAAAGAAAGCAGTCAGACAAACAGGGGCCATTCAAGCTAATGAACATCTAGGCAATTCACTTTTCAAAATAAACCTTCCTTTTCTGGTATACTCTTTTGGACTATAGCACTCTGGGGCAGTTGGGAGGGTATTTAAGTCCCACAGATTTCCTCTTGGTCCTGAATATTGCTACCTTGAGAAATCAGTTTGAGAAGTGTAAAAGATGAAGCTCCTACAATGTTTTTTTTCCACACAAAAAATTCTAAACTTGTTCTTTAAGGCTGAGATTTAGGGACTGCACAGCAATTTAGGTGGATATCTCAACACTTGACTTGAAAAGCTTGATTTAAGCAAGCCATAGATTCAAGCATGTAAAACTGCTAACTCAAGGTGCAAATGTTGCTAAGAAAATCTAATTCTAAGAATAGTTGTACAATAAAAAACAAGCTTAAATGAAATATGGTAAGGCTACAACTTTCTGTAAACGTGTTATTGCATGATTCTAGGACAAGGTTCTAAGAAAACTAGCAGCCAAGGTGTAGGTATACTATGACTAAGAATAAAGGCAACATACTTTTAGAAAGACAATAAATAATAGGAAGAGGTAACTTTTAAAATTATTTAAAGTGGCCATAAGAGGGTGAAAAATAGTACTAGAATAAAATTATTTCACTCAGAACATTGTCATGTTAGGTGCTATGTTGTATGTATGTATGTATGTATGTATGTATGTATGAATGTATGTATGTATGTATGAATGTATGTATGAATCTACCTGCCTGCATAGCAATTGGGTTCAAGCTATGACAAATGTTTATACTAGTTTCAATTTAAGCAAATACTCCTACCTATTTTCAAGATAATGACTCAGAGGTTGTAATACTCATGCACATTTATGTATGGCTCCATATATGTTCTGTATCATGGCCGTCCAACGCACTGAATGAAGAGGAATCGTCCTGGGCTGCATATAAAATATATAATATAATTGATGTATAGAAGTAACAAACTTAGTTTATTTTTTAATATTTTATTATATCTTGTGGGGCCCATTACTAGCTATCCAGGCTGCAGGTTGGACACACCTGTTCTATATGACTCTTTATATTGGATGATTTCCAGAAGCATTGGATTACAACTTCTAAAATTCCTGGTCAGAACAGCCAAAGACTATCATATTCTAGATCTAGAAGAATAATTAATGAAAAAAGAAGAGATGAACTGGATCCTTTCATTAAACTCTTATATGGTCAATCAGATATAGGCAACATAATGTCAATACTAAGGAAAATCATGTTAACTGTGACGATAACCAAGGCATAGAAATCAAGAAATTAATCGAGGTTTTAGTTTTTTTCACTTAAAAATATGCCTGTACAGAATGTGTTTAAGGTAAATTACAAAGATGAGGCAAAAATGTATTTCCAGCAAGCATCAAAAACATCCATTAAGGAAAAATATACATAAATACTATTATTTAACTGACAAATTGCATAAACTATACCATAAGAATGACAGCCAGCCGCACAAATGCACACACAAGCGGGGCTACACCCAACCACCCATAACCATATGCAAGAAATTTTATCTTTGCTCTCCTCCCTCCATGCCATACCCCCCTTCCGTTCTGCTCTGTTTTTGTACTTCTAATTCTCACATGCACCTTGGTTTGGTGAAAATAAACCATAAATCACCTATCCAAGGTAGAACTTTCTTTACCCTGTAAACTTCCTAATTGAAAATACATTTAATTAGCATCACATTAATCAGGAGAATAACTGTTGATTTCTTACATCACTTAAACACTGTCTTGATTAAAACTTTCCCAACCTATGTCATTCATTATATGAAGAAAAATTAAATTTCTAATTTGGAAGTATGAAAGATAAAAGATTTGTTCTTTTTGGGTTTTTTTAAAAGGGAGGGGAAAAATCATGCATTAACTCTAATCTTAGAGCACATATACTGATAGATAAAAGCAGTTGATTATGCTTGCAGAATTCATGGTTAGAAACCACTGGCTGCTGAATTACCAGATTAAACACAGCTATTGACATTTTTAACTTCAAAAAGAAGAATGTATTGTAGGAATGGAAACACAAAGTATATTATGAACTACAGACTATTGCACATTTCAACATAATACAAGTGTAAAATAGAAAGTATGAAATAAAATACACTCGTTACACAGAAACATACAAATGATTTGTGCACACAATTCAAATCATGAACAGTGGATGCCACCATAGTCCATTGGCTTTGCTGTTTAGTGACTTTTGGAAACTGGTCCAGACTGATTATCAGCAATAAATTTTTTTGTTTTTGATTTTTAAAAAAAATATTTTGAGACCACAATATTTGATACATACATATATAATTCTGTGGTCAAGGACGAACACATGTTGTTTTGCAATTCTAAATAAAAAGTGCAAAAATGTAAAAAAAACAAAAACAAAATTATGGAAGCATAAGCTAAAAATTGTCTGCATAGATGAAATCTATTTAAAGCAAGTTCTTGGTAAGGAGTACTGACAGAAGAAAGCAGGATTGATTTATTTATATATATATATATATATATATATATATATATATATATATATATAT